TTATACAGGAATACAGGATAAAGTTATAAAGTTATACAAGAATATTTCATATATCCTTAAGAAAAAATCTCAAAGATGGAACATGACGAAGCAGCATTTCCTCAGATCTACTCTTCAGGCCTGGAGTGATAGCACAGCGGTAGGGCGTTCGCCTTAAAAGCGGCCAACATGGCCGACCCGAGTTCGATTCCTCCACCCCTCTCGGAGAGCCCGGCAAGCTACCGAGAGTATTCAGTATTCGATATGCCAGACACAGTAACAACAAAGTCTCCAATGGAGACGTTACTGGGCCCGCTCGAGCAAATCGACGATCAACGGGAGGGCCTTTACCTTTTACCGTTACCTACTCTTCAGAGGCTTTCACTATTACTCATGAAGGTAGGAGGCGCTAAGCTTCATGAACTCTGGAATCAGCAAAATTCCCATCACAATCATTATAAAATGTAATTTCTATTACATTTAAAAATGTTTCACATAAATTACTGAGGATAAACAAACAACATGGCTGGGGTTCGGAGCAACAGTAGAGCAGGTAAGGTGCTTGCCTTTTACGGGGCCAACTCAGGTTCGATTCCTGGCACCCAATAAGGTCCCCTGAGCCTGCCAGGAGTGATTCCTGTGCACAGAGTCTGAAGTAAGCCCTGAGCACTGCCCCCCCCCCCCCAAAAACAACAACAACAAAAAAAAATGGCTAATAGAAGCCTCCCCTCCCCCAGAATACCATGTCAATCCTTTTCAACAAAAACCAAACTTCCTTATGTATCCTTTCTCAGGCTTAGCAAAGGAGAACTGCAACTTTGTATGGCACTATCTGAGAAGTTGGACTCCTTCCGAAGCCAGGGTAGACATCTGGGTGTATGTCTTTTTTGTATTTCCCCACCCTTCCAAACTGCCTTAGAAAGAGCCTGGCTGCTGTGTCCTAAGAAACAACGGTGCAGAGCTTTAAGTACTGCAAAGGGTATGGAAAAGAAAGTCCCCAGATGCCAGTTATAGCTCAAATCTTATGATTTCTCTAGTAGTTGTTTTAATCAACCAAAGCTGGTTTGGCTTTTCTCAATGAGCCAAACAACACAAACATTCTGAGTTAAGTGCAGAGGGGCTACTTTGTCAATATGACTCCCAATGGGATGACTAGCATGGAATATTCTCCAGCCTCTACAAACTAAGATAGCACATACCGTTGTTTCCCAACACATGCACCTCCAGCTTGATATAGGTAGGTAAGGACAGAGAATCAGTAAATTCTAACGGTTAAGTTTGGATTACATAAAAGATATTGCTTAAAGCTAAAATGAAGCCAGAGGGCTAGAGGCTAGAGTAGTGGGTAAGGCATTTGTCCTGCAATTTGTCAAGCAATCGACCAGGGTTCAATCCCCAGCACCCACTATGGTCCCCTGGGCACCTTCAAGAGTGATCCCTGAAAGCAGAACCAGGAGTAAACTCTGAGCACTATTGGGTGTGGCACACAAAAAAAAAGTTTCAAAAAACAAATCCAGAGGTCCCAGCACCATTAGGATATCATTACAGTCTTCTTCCATACTGCTGCTCTATAACCTAGAGGTCTGACCTGATGCAGTCAGCAAAAAATAATAAGGGGGAATGGAACTATGTGTTCATGCACAAACACAGGCTTTTGAATGTACTTAAAGACTTTGAGGTTTAGAACAAGTTCCTCTTATCTTCCTCTCCCAGTAGTACCCTGGGGCCTTATACTTAACACAGCACTAAAAGTTACTGCTAGAATACAGACTTGAAAAGTTGATCAGAGGGGCTGGAGTGATAGCACAGCGGGTAGGGCATTTGCTTTGCACGCAGCCAACCCGGGTTCGATTCGCAGCATCCCATATGGTCCCCCAAGCACCACCAGGAGTAACCCCTGAGCATTGCTGGGTGTGACCCAAAAAGCAAAAAAAAAAAAAAAAAAAGTTGATCAGAGAACCTGGGCAACACTGATCCTGGACAAGTATGTGAATGCTGCTTCTTTTTAGATCCTATCCCAAACTGCCTCTCAACAGGAAGTTATCGAACATCACACACAGCGTGAGCAAACCACAGTGTCATAAAGATGGATGCTGGGTCTGGAGAGATAAAGAGTGAGGAAGGCGCTTGTCTTGCATGCTGCAGATCCGGGTTCAATCTCTAGCCCTGCATAGTTTCCTAAGCCCTGCCAGGAGTGATTCCTGAGCACAGAGCCAGGAGTAAGCACTGAGCATAGACAGGTGTAGCCCAAAAATAAACAAACAAAAAAGATGTTGGACTGGAGCAAAAGTACAGTAGAGTGCTAGCCTTGCACAGCGCCAACCTGGGTTCGATTCTCAGTATCCCATATGGTCCCCAAAGCACTGCCACGAGTGATTCCTGAGTACAAGAGCCAGTTGTGGACCAAAACTCAAAAAAAAAAACAACCAAAAAAAAAAAAGACTGCTATCACTCTCATTTAACCAAAAATATTATCAAATAAGGAATATGCCACAGAGATATTAAAGGTCTGTAGAACAAGCTTTGCATTCAGAAGCCCCAGGTTTGACTTCCAGCACGATTCCCCAATACTGCCACAGAAGTAGCCCCTAAAGCAAAGTTTGTGGCCCCAAAACAAACCAAGGCAATCCATCAGCCTCATTTCTTCTCTAATTGGGTCATTTGGCCTACAAGTCTAACCTTCCTATTCCTGCTGATTAATATCTATGTACTTCATTCCATAACATGATGACATCACTACCAAGAGACTAAGAAGTCTATTCCTCTAAAAACACAAGACTGCCCTAGCAGCCACAGCAGTAGATCCAGTAACTATTTATGGGCCAGAGGGATAGTACAGAGAGTAGGGTGTGCTTTGCACGCAGCCAACCCGGGTTTGATCCTGGCACCACATATGGTGGAGCCCTCCAGAAGTGACTCCTAAACCAGGAGTAAGACCTCTGCACCACCAGGGGTGGCACCCTCAAAAAAAAAATAAATTATTTCCACAACCTATCTGCTTAAAAAGTCCAAGACTGGGGCTGGAGTGATAGTACAGCGGGTAGGGCATTTGCCTTGGATGCAGCCGACCCGGATTCGATTCCCAGAATCCCATATGGTTCCCTGAGCACCGCCAGGAGTAATTCCTGAATGCATGAGCCAGGAGTAACCCCTGTGCATCACCAGGTATGACCCAAAAAGAAAAAAAAATGAAGTTCAAGACTACTCTTATTCCAATTCATTTCCAAGCAAACTGGCTACCACCAAGAAACAAACCAAAAACAAAGCATTATTTCCAAAAGATACAGGAAATTAACCTCAAAATAAATACACTGAGGACTGCCCAGAGTGTTCCAACCTTTAAACCTCCAGAAATATCCTTCACAACCAAAGACCAATAGAAACGCCATTCTAGGCAATACCTGATCAAGACTGGTTCAACACTAAAAATAGAAATCCAGGTGCTTATCAGACTATAAGGAAGAGTTTAGGTCGGCACATCAAAAAAGACTACAATAAAGTCAGCACTAAACTCTCAAATAGATTCATCTCTAACAACAGACACCACACTGCTGCCACGACCCTCTGCACTGTGCAGGGATGTGGTCCTTCAGGTATGTGAGGCTCTGGGGATAGATACACTGCCCAGCACAACCACTCTCCCACACACACCAAAAGTCCCGGCACTGGAGCACACTAACGGTTAGAGAACTGAGAGGAGGGGAAAGATTTCTTCCCATTTTTGTATCACATGCCAGCATGATCTATTGCAAATACAAATTTTGTATTTGGAAGAGAAACATTTCAAGAACTCAAAAGTCAATTTTTGTTTGCTTGCTTCCACTCTAGGTGCTACAAGTCCAAATCTCTCTACAGCCGGGCCTGAGAGCACTGCTCTTCTACTTTACATGAAGTTTTGCCCAGCTCCTCACCCCCACACCGAACCCCTCCCAACAACACTTTGAGCAAGGAGCAAACTGAAGCCACTTGCTCCCGCGGGTGACAGCGAAGAAAGGCTCGGGGAGCGCCGCCCACCACCCACCCAGCGCCAGGACCTCCATCCCCACCTCGGGCAGCTCGGGGCCAAGCGCCGGTGCCGGGAGGGAAGTTCAGGCTGGGCGGGGCCCAAGACGCTGCCGAACTTTCAGTGGGGAGGAGGGGGGTGGGGGGCCGACGACACTGTCCCAGGCCGGACAACGCAGAGCCTGGACGAGAATCGGGCACCGCACGCAGCCCAAGTAATGCACACAGCCTAGGCACCGCACACAGCCCCGGCCGGGCGCGCAAAGACTGCTCCAGAGCGCGGGAGGAGAGAGTACCAGGTCCGATCCGGTGCGGGAGGCCGAGTTCCCGCTCCCGCAGCCCTCCGGCCCCAAGCCGGGGTGCAGGGCCGAGGATGCTTTCGTGGCGACTGAGGACGGGCCCCACGCAGGCAACGCCGAGCCCGGGAACCGAGGAAGAAAGGAGACGCTTCGGCGCTCCCGGTCCGTGGGTCCCCAGAACCTCCGGGCGCCCGGGCTCCCCGGTCCGGAACGAGCCCCGCTCGCGCCGGCCGCCCGCGAGCCCCGGGCCGCGGCGGAGAGCGGCCCCCGCACCCCGAGGGCACCGCCGGGGGCGGCGAGTGGGGGGGCGCGCGGGAGGGGAGCATGGCGGGCATGAGGCAGGAGCGAAGCGGGGATGGCGGGCAAACGGGGCGCCAGGGAGCGCCAAGAGTAAGAGGAGGAGGAATGAAGGGACACGCGCCGGGGCGCGCGAGGCCGAAGTGAAAGCCCGGGGCGCGCGCGCGCGGGGGGAGGGGACGAGGTGAAGGGGGAGCGCGAGGCGGGGGCGCGCGGGGCCGGGTGGGGGAGGGGACGCCAGGCGGGGGCGCGCGGGCGGGCGTCGGCTCGCGGCGCTTCCCCTCCCCCCGCCCCTCCACCTTTCCCTTCCCCCACCGCGCCGCCGCCGCCGCCGCCGCCGCCGCCCGGCCTCCTTCCCTCCCTCGCTCCTCACCGCCCCCGGGCGGGCGGGCGGCCAGGCGGGCCTAGGCCAAAGCTCCTCACCTGGCGGTGGCGGTGCAACTCCCGGCTAGCTCGCGTCCTCAGGCGGCGGCGGAGGCGTCGAAAAAGGAAGAGGCGACGGCACAGTGGGCTCCGGACCCCACTGACGGGACCGGGGGCGGGGGTGGGGGAGGGGGGCGGGCCGGACCGGGGCGGGCGGGCGGAGCAGACACTGCGGTACAGACGGGGGCAGCGGCGGCGGCGGCGGCTGCACCGGCGGCGGCACCACACAAACAAGGACGCTGATTGGGCAGCTGCCAAGCGCCTGGGCTCCGCCTTCCCCACACGCCACGACGCCCATTGGGCGACCTAAGCCGGCTTCCCCGCCCTCTTCTTCCCGGCCTTACCAATAGGGAACTAGATACCGGGACTACACCCCACCCTTGAAAATTGAGTGGCTGGACACGTGATGATTGGCGTTTGTACGGCCTAATCCCAAACGGAGGAGGGGGATGGTCTAGCGGGGGCGCGTTAATGGGTACCTCGGCCAGCCCCAGACACATCCGGGTCCTCAGCAGCCCATTAAGTGTCGGGGGTCAAAAAATCGCTTCAGGCTGCAACTTTACCTTAGAGACGTTTTGGTCCCCAGGCAGCCGCCGTACCCCAGTACCCGCAAGCCGGGATTCCCCTTTGGTCCTCTCTCATTCTTCCAATTCTAAAGATGGAGAATGGCGAGCGGCGTGGGGCTCGGCGTGGGGCGCTGGGTCCTCGCGACAGAATGCAGGAATTTCGCGATAGAACTCCTAGTTTCGAGCGCCTGGGCCCGGCCGCGTCTTTGGGGCGTGGCCCGTCCCCGCTTGTCAAAAGGCCCGAGGAGCTTTGCGTGGCTCGGCGTGGTGCTGTCGTGACTTAGACCGCGACAGCACGGGAGCCGTAGGGAAGGCGGCGGACCGAAAGGCTGTGGGACCACGGCGCTCAGAGCCCTCGCGGCGTCGTGGCTTGGGCGTTGCTGGTCCGGCTAGGCTCACAGCCCGGGAAACGGGCACCCATCCCTGCCCAGCCTCCTGCTCGCCCACTCCCTCCCCGCAGACACCTCGGACAGTGCACCCCGCCCAGCGCCCCCTGCTCGCCCACCGACTCCCACCCAGGTACCTCGGACCGTGCACCTGGCCCAGCGCCCGCTGCCCGCCCACCTACTCCCCTCAGGCACCTCCGATCGTGCAGCCCCGCCCCGCATCTCCTGCTCGCCCACCTGCCCCCTGCACTTGGCAGGAAGCCCCTGCCAGGGTTGGGACCAGTGGCCGGGTGAGGTTGCGCCAGGCTCTGCGTTGCGGAAACGCAGGTTCGTTTCATGCTTGGACTCGACCCAGGGCAGCTCGCAGCTTGTAGCGCGAGGAGTGCGGTTGGCCCCATTTTACAGATAAGGCTTAGAGGGATGGTGGGTCCAAACAAGAGGTAGGAGGTGGCGTGGGAAAGGCGAGCCCAAGTAGGTGAAGAAGCCTACCCAGCGAGGCTAGGCGACCTATCCAGGGCCTCACAGCTCATCCGTGAGCTGAGAGATGGTTTGTGACAAGCAACAACTGAAAACCAGAATATGTTTTCTAGATCAGTTAGAAGTGATGCTGGAGGACTAGAGAGATGGGGGGAAAGGGGTGATCCTGGGCACCCGGGTAGGGTTCCAGAATATTACCAGGAATGATCCCTGAACACCAAGATAGGAGTAAGCCCTGAGCACTGCTGGGTGTGTGTGTGTGGGGGGGGGGGGGGGGATTAGAAGTGAAACTAATGAAGGACATGACCATATAAAGTCATAGGTAGACCCTAATGCGTATGCGCATACACACACTCACTCCCCTGAGACATGTCCCAGTTATTTACATGGGTAAAATAAAATTTTAAATCTGGGATGGAGAGATAGGATAGTAAGGCTGTCCTATCTTGCAGGCCAACCCATATTCTATTCCCTCTCTGGCATCACATAGGGTCCTTGGAACCCCAATAGGAGTGACCCCTGAGTACTTCCAGATGCAAAAGCAAAGAAGGAAATTGACTTTATTTTGTTCTAGCTACACTTCAAGTGAAAATGATATGTGTGCTGGAAAGTTAGTACCGGAGGTTGGGTGCTTGCCTTGCACACAGCCGATGCAGGTTGGATCCCTGACATCCCATATGGTTCCCTACTTACCCCTGGCTCTGTGCTCAGGGATCACTCCTGAGAGTGCTTAAGGAAGGGATCATATGGAATGCCAGGGATTGAATCCAGGTCTACCCCATGCAAGGCAAACACACCCTACCTGCTCTAGCCCCCAAATAAAATTTTAAAGAATAAATGAATTAACTAAAATTTATTGTACTCCAGAGGGCAGAGAGGTAGTACAGTGGATAAGGTGCTTGTCTTGAACACAGCTGATGCAGATTTGGTCCCTGTCATATTATTATTATTATTAATATATTGCATATTATTCCCTAGATCCCACCAGGACTGATCTCTGAATACAAAGCCAGAAGTATGCACTGAACATCACTAGGTGTGACACCCCTTCTGCCACCCCCAAAAAAAACACTAAATAAATTTTTCTTCTGCTCTAGACTGGAGACACAGCACAAAGCTGCACTGTATGCTTTGCGCATAGGAGTTGACCCCCAGCACCACCTGTCTCTAGAACCTTCCAGAGCTGGGAGTAACCCCTGAAGCCCATTGGGTGTGACCAAAACAAACCACACCACACTATAAATAAATAAGCTAAATCAAATTAAAGCTTACATTACCCAAGGTTGTACACTCTCAGGTCTAGGAAAACAAAGGGGACCAGGGTCATATTCTCCAAATACTGCTCTGTAGGCCACCAATCTGAAGTCAGAGATCATAGTGCATACTTTGAAATTGGGATCCCAGATATTCCTGTAGTTCAAGAATTCTGTGACTCCACCTACCTATTGTTAGTGCTTGTGAGTCGGAAAGAGGGGGAGGTGCCCATGAAGGTTGATTGTATGTTATACTGAGGCAGGAACTGAGCCCTAAAATTCTTCCTCTGGATTCCGACAGTTCAGTGAACGGCTGCAGCTTCGTGCTATGTCTCTAGTGCAGAGTAGACATACTGTCTTCAACAGAAATGTAAGCGCACTGGAAGAAGGGTTGGGGAGATAGTACAGGATGAAGACACTTGTCTTGAACGTGGCTAATCCATGTTCCATCCCTGGTGCTGTATATGGTCTCCCAAGTGATCCCTGAGCACAATGCCAGGAATAACCAACCCCTGAGCACAGCCAAATATTACCCCAAAACAAAACAAAACAAAAAATCGGGAAGGCAAGTGTTCCCTCACACAAGATTCTAAGAAATGACATAGAGGCTAAGAATCTACTGGAAACTGCGTGCTATGAAGGGTCCCCTCAGTGCTCCGTGTCCCTGGTCATACATCCTGAGATGTCCTGAGCTGCAGGATGTCCTGAGTTGTTTCCCTCCTGCACAGTTAACATGGGCCCCTAGAAATGGGGCCCTCTGTGCTCAGGACACAGTGGAAGGGTCTTCTGGCCCAAAGGACCCAGAACTCAAGCACCACTCTCTCCAGCACTGACCTCCATCCCCCAAATTCCCACAGAGGAGTCCCTCCTGGCACTCCTGCCCTCCTTCCCCAAGGTATTTCTGTTTTGGTGGCTAATTCCCTCTGGTAGTTGGCTTTACAGCTCTGTTAGGAGTTGCTTCCTGTGTTGATCTCATTACACAGGGCAGAGAGGGAGAACCCCCAAGTGTGCCAAGAAGACTTAAAAAACTGTGTCCTCATCTTCTCAATGTGCACACACAGTGAGAAAAGCCCCTGATCCACACCCATCTTCCTGGGATGCCCACAAGTGGGCAGAGCTGCTTGCAATAACCGAGCTGGGGAGGCCCCAGTGTGACTACAGGGAGGGTCAGCAGCCGTGAGGTGCTGGAAAAGCTGGGGTTGTGTGGGGGAGACAGGAGAAAGAGAGATGATGAGCTCAGGGCCCCCAGAGAATGGAGTCTTTGTGTGGGGTACAGATGAGGGACAAGGGGGTGATTGTGTGGGAGGGCCGGAAGTGCCACACAGACTGGCACCACTGCGGCCAGTGCTGGATTCACCCCTCTACTGCACGGAGAGCTCCCTGTGCCCTAGGGACCGCAGCCGATTGGTTGGGAGAAATAGGGTGTGTCTGAAAGGATGGAATGACTGGAGAGGTGGCTGCACCGCCTCCCCCACCCCCAACTCCTTGCCCAAACCCAGGGAATAAGAGGCATAAGGAAAAAGACATAAGCAGCTTTTACTCTATTTACATCCAACAAAACCTTGCAAGGGACAATCCTTATTGCACAAGTCAGGGCCCCGGGTTGGTGGCGCTGGATGGGTAAACCAGGACTCTGGGGGCACCGACGACTCAGCCTCAGGGGAGCTCAGGTCTCCTCTCCCTCCCACTCCTGTCTTTCAAGGAGTTCCGATTCCAGTTACTACCAGACCTGGCGCCCCGCAGATCCCTGCTTCTCTCACCATCCATAAGCAAGGGGATGTGGCTCCAGAATAAATAACTTAAAATATAATACACTCAGGAAGGCATGGAGGGCCCAGCACTCCCTCAGCACTGCCAGGGAAGAGGGCCCATCTTTGGTGGGAAATGATGTCCTGTCCCTCCCTCCCTCCCATTCTGGGTAAAGGCTCAGTAGCTCTGTAACTTTCCAGTTGTTTTTTAAAACAAAAACTTAAAATATGACCAGGGCAGTGCGCATCTGTGGGCACCCTGGAAGGGAGATCCTGGCATCGGGCGGGGAAGCGTAGAGCTGTGCCAGCTCCCCTGACCTTGGCGCCCGGTGGAGCTCAGGGAGTCATGACTTTTGGTGACAGCAAGGCCCCTTTCCACTGCCCCACTCGGAGTCAACTTCCGGCCGGCTGAGCAAGCTTCCCAGCCTAGTCCTGGGCCTCTGAAAGGATCCGGGAGGCTGTTTTCCTTGAGCCCCTTCTCCTTCACCTCCTCCCCAACCCTGGGAAGGAGGAGGCAGTTTGGGGGTTCTTAGCATTCCAGAGGCGCTCCAAAGCATTTCCGGCAATCGATGGCCTTGGGAGTGGGCATCTGTGCCCGTCGCTGCCGCAGCTCCTCCTTGCCCATGCTGTTAGCCAGCTTGTGGAAGGCAGATTTGTACTTCTTATCGAAGGCCCCTAGGGGAGAGGACAAAGGTCAGGGCGGAGGTCAGTCTGCTCGGATTCCAACCACCTGCATTGCCCTAACCCCCTGCCTAGCCCCTCCCCTCACCTATGTCCACATGGTCCTTGCCCAGAGCTGCCATCGTCAGAAACAGGATCTCACGGTAGATGCCCCTACAGCAGAGGTGGGAGGCATGAGGACAGGGCTGAGGGCAGGGCACAGGATGGGCGAGACGCTGCCCAAGGAATGGTACCTCTGCAGATGCAGGCCGGCGGGCGGGGGCCCCAGGGTGTCCAGCAGGAGCCCCACGGCCTTGTGCACCTCGTTGAGCCCCACGTGGCGCAGCACAGACTCGAGCAGGGCCAGGCTGAGAGATGCAGGCACTGGGCCTGACCACACCACCCGCTGCGGGATCTGACCTGCGCCAGAGGAAAGGTGGGCCAGGGTGACGAGCCGCAGGGGCGGAGACCCCCCACCCCAGGGGCCCATCCCACTCACTGTGGGCCCGCCAGAGCACGTAGAGAGGCGGGCAGCTATTGGGGTCCGGACTCAGGACGTCCCACAGCAGCCGCACCCGCACAGAGGCGGGATCCCAGGTCAACCAAGAAGCCGGAGTCTAGGGGGTCCAGAGGAGGCACGTGACTTATGGGACAGAAGGCAGAGAGTGGACGGGCACCCCCCCCCCCATCCCACCCTGGCAAGCTCTGAGAACAAGGACTCTGGTGACCAGCCAACCCTCAGCACCTCAAAGCTACCTGGACCTACAGGGGACGCTGAGAAGAGCCATAAGGCACCCATGGGTGTCCAATACCAGCCCTGGGCAGTGGGTGCTTGTACTGTCTCACAGATGAGAGAATGGACCCCAGGCAGTGAGGAAGTGGGAGAGGCACAGGAGCGTCTGGTCTGACACAGCCCTGAGCTGGGAGAGGCGGGAGGGGCTGACCTGGGGGGCGGGGGGTCCGTCAAAGGATGCCAGCACCAGGCAGGGCAGGATGTTGGGCAGGCTTAGCCGCTGGAAGTACCACAGAAGGTTCCAGAAGATGATAGGGTGGGCAACAGGCAGTTCTGGCATGGCCAGAACCTCGCTGCCTTCATTCTCCACCAGCGATTCCAGTTCCTTCCGCAGCACCAGGGGGCTCAGGTATGCCCAGGCCCCAACCTCAACCCGCCGGGGCGGGGTTCCCTATCAGACAAAGAAGAGCGGTGGGACAGGCGCCAGCCACTGGAGCCATCGTGTCAACCCACTTCTGGTTGTTTCTCGCCCCAGGGGCCCATCTCTCCGCAGCATCACCGGGACCACCCCCAACCCAAGTGTGGCCCGCACCCTCTTCTCAGGCCCCTGGGTCTGGCCCTTACCCCCACGTGCCCGTTACAGAGTTGGGGCTCGTCCAGGGCAAGGCAGAGCCTGCGATCACTGAGCACTGGGCCTGGGCCCCCAGGGACAGGTGCATCTTCGCAGCTGCTGGCACCCATGGGAGTGGGCTGAGGGCTGGGGACACTGCGGGGGACAGCAAGCATCAGGCCACCCTGCTGGGTCTGCAGTGCTCCCCGCCCCGCCCGCCCTGCCCTGCACCTGGGCCGGGAGTCGAGGGTCTGCACACTGAGCAGGGGCACGAAGGGACGGGCACAGAAGGGGCAGGTGGTGTTGAGGTTGGAGTCGTCGGGCGCCCAGCCAGCCATGATCTCCTCGTCGTACACCAGAGAGTCACAGGCCCGGCACAGGGAGCAGCTGGACAGTAGTACCTGGACCAGGAGACCCCCAAGGGCCCTGCTTGGCCTCCAAGTCCGCCCGGCCCTCCCCGCCAGGCCCAGGGAGCAGCGCCTGCATGCCAGCATGGCGGGGGACTGGGGGAAATCCTCACTTCCAGGGAGGGGGGCTGCAGAGATCCGGGGGTGTCACTGAGGCGCTCTGAGGAGCGGCGGAGGCTCAGGCTGCTGAGGGATGATTCCGAGAGGTCCCACTCACTGCCCAGAGAGGTGGAACTCTGCTGACACAGGGACAGCATGTCACCAAGGTGCCTCTTCCTGGGCACCCTGCACACCCTGCCTGCCTCCCCGCAAGCTCTCCCGGGTACCCGCCCGTCTGCGCCGCACAGCCACCTCGGATGCCGTGGAGCCAGGGCGCTCCCGGGGCCGCAGGAGGCTGTCCATGGGGCTACGCCGGACCGAGGGAAGCAGGTCAGCGGTGAGCTCAACCGAGGTGACCCGCGAGGCGGGGGAGCGGCGGGATGGTGTGAGCAGCTGCTGGATGCGGGCCCCCAGGCTGCGTCTGGGGGTGCTGGCCTCGTCCTGATGCCCTGCAGCCCTGGACACCCTTCCGCTTGGCCCCTCCAGAGCCTCGACGGACTGAGCGCTGAGGGCCGAGCCTGAGCCACGAGGGCTGCCTCCGGGCACTGGCTCCTCTCCAGCCAAGCTGAGGTCCGAGAGGCTGCCATCCCGCCAGGGCACCGGTGATCCCCGGGGTTCCAGGACCCCCAAAGCCTCGATCACTGCAGGGCAGAGGACAGACGGGACATGAGCCATCTGACCTGGTTGCATGGCCTCTGCCCTGCCATGCCCACCCCAGCACTGCCCTCCCCCACCCCCCCAGGGTCCAGTCCCCTGCAGGTGTGGCAAGGAGGCTGAGGGGAACACTCACTGTGGGCCATGCCAGCCTCCACAGTGGGCTGCGCCCCCCGGGCACTGCCCAGGCTGCCGCTCTTCACCAGGCGCCCAGTGGGTGAGGCGGGGTCCCGGAAGCTTCGGCCAGCCCATGTTGTCTGGCGCTGGAGGGGGCGGGAAGGGGAGGGGCGCTCCTGCTGGGGCCCTGCAGGGTGGGGGGCAGGAAGGCAGCTGCTGGGACGGTGTCCTTGCATGAACCTCTCTTGGGGGTGCTCCCCAGGGGTGGGGGTGTCGCTCTCTCCCTACCAGTAAATGCTGCTCCCAGAGCCCACCTTGCAGGCGCCCGCACCCCCAAGCTTGCCTCCCCAGCCCCTTCCCACCTTTCTGGGAGCTGCCCGCTGCTTGTGTCTCCGCCTGCTGCTGCTGCCGCCGCCGCCGCTCTCTCAAGGGCTGGCGGAACTGGGCAGCGCCCAGAACCACGTTCCGGAGCTTGGCCCAGTGCAGGCGCCCACCTGGGGTCCCGGATGGCCACTTACTCTCCAGAACAGCCTGCCAAGCACAGTCCCCGTCAGGGTGGCTGCCTCCCTGGCCTCCCTGTCCCCCTGACCTTCAGATGGCCCCGTTAGGGCTCAGCAGCCAAGAGGGCCCTGGGGGGGGGCTTTGGCCACCTGTGACAAGGTCCAGACAGGCCCTCCAAGATGCCCGAGAAGCAGTTTGCTCCCAGACTCTGCTGCCTACACACCCCACACAGCTTGGATGAAATCGGCTAGCTCTCTTGAATCCTCCCGGTGCTAGTCTAGAACTCCAGAGATGGCTCCAGGTCCTGGCACGGGGCCTGCACTCGGAGCCATTCCTGGCTGGAGTCACCGTGTCAAGACTTCAACTCAGTCCCCAGGGATATGGCGCTGACCCTGCAACTCCAGGGAGGGGCAGAAGCTCTCCAGTCCGTGGGACAGGGGCAAGGAGAGGACGCAGCAACATGTAGTGTGTTGGGAGCAGGGAGAAGCTTCACGTGTAGGAGGCACCGTGTGACCCCCCCAGGACCACAGGTGAGGCTCCCACACCTCAACCAGCAAACATGTATAAAGTGTTTGGTGTGGGAGGCCGGAGTGACAGTACATCAGGGGAGGCAGGTGCCTGCCATGCGGCCGACCCAGGTTCGCTCCGCGGTACCATGTATAATCACCCGAGCCTGCCAGGAGTGATCCCTGAGCACAGAGCCAGGAGTAAGCCCTGAGCACCGCCGGGTGTGACCCCCAAGCCAAAACCAACGTGCTTGGCTGAGACTCTCGGCAGTCAAGTCTGAGAACTCCCTCTGCGATCCACAGGGGCAGAGGGGACAGTCATAGGACCCGGGCACCGCACCCACCCCCACTGCAGACACCAGGCGCTGGCCTCTGCCCCACATCTGGTACCTTGTTGTAGTAGCCGTAGGTGATGGTATTGGGCACAATGCCCGCCTGCCGCATCTCCAGCATGACCCTCACCGAGAGTACTGGCTGCCCGTAGTGCGAACACAACTGCATGAGCACCCGGTAGCACACCTGGGCGGGAGGCACAAGGTGAGAGGCACCCTGTGGCCTCCCCGCTGTCCCTGCCTGTGGGACTCAGGCATGGTGCCCCAGCTTCCCAGCAAGCCACCCGCCCCCCACCCTAGGCTCCCTCTCCAGCCCACGCGGGGGCTGGGTCAGGTGCCCACCTCATCAGGCAGCACCACCTTGCGGCTCTCCATCTGGCGCAGCACTTGGTAGGCCGTGTGAAGGGCCCGCACGCGGGAAGGCGCCACCCGCACGTAGGCCGGCAGACACAGGAACCACAGCCCGTAGCAGTGGCCCAGCAGGTAGCGGGCCCACAGCTCTGGCACTGCAGCCGACTTCTGGGCCATGCGCTGCGCCACCTTCATCTCCTGGGCAAGGCGGGAGATGCAGCATGAGCGGGAGGCGGCCTATGCCCAAGGAAGGGCCGGGCTGGGGCAGGGGGCCAGTGAGGAGGGGTGGGAGGGGTGCCAGGGAGGACAGCTGACACTGATGTGACAGAGTGCGGACTTGGGCCTCATGTACCCAGATGTGGTGTGTGAAGATGGAAGAACAGAACAGTAGCCCCCACAGCCCCCTGGGAGCCCCCCTGCTGGTCACCTGCTTCGTGCGGCGGGGAGCTGGGCTGCTGGGGGCACTGCGGGATGGGCCGGGCACAGGCAGGGCCCCTTGCTGCTCCTGGGGAGACTCGAACAGCTCAGCCCGCAGCTCGGGAAAGCCATCGTAGCTAGAGGCGAAAAAAGCCCACATGCACGCATCGTGGGAGGACCTGTCAGCCCCCAGGCTCCTGTGGAGCCTGGACCTGTGAGGGGCTGAAGGACGCTCACCAGTACTGGGGGGCAGCCTCACTGCCCTCGGGCACTGTGGGCTCCTCAGGCGGAGTGATGAAGACCGTCAGTTCGCTTCCCGACAGCTCCTCCAGCTCCACCAGCGGGGTCGGCTCCGGCTTCTCCTGCTCCGGGTGCACCTGGGCAAGACCCGGTACACCAGTGGGAATGGGCCCAGTCCAGGGTGGCCAGTCCTGGACTCCTGGTCACAATGAAAGAGCAGGGGTCCAGGGGTCCGGGGACAGGGGGAGTCCAGTGTGGAAATGCGACAGGAGGCCAGTGGGACCTGTGTGAGTAGAGTGAAGTGTAAAGGGAGGCTGGTAACACATGTGTGACAGGCGGCCAGTGTGATGGTAATGTGACAGGAATGTTCAGTGGGGTGTGACAGGAATGTGAGTGGAGTATAACAGGAGTGTGATAGGAGTGTGACAGGAACGTGAGTGGAGTGTGATGGGAGTATGACAGGAGTGTGACAGGGGGCCAGTGTGATGGGAGTGTGGCAGGAATGTGAGTGGAGTATAACAGGAGTGTGATAGGAGTGTGACAGGAACGTGAGTGGAGTGTGATGGGAGTATGACAGGAGTGTGACAGGCGGCCAGTGTGATGGGAGTGTGACAGGAATATGAGTGGAGTGTGACAGGAATGTGAGTGGAATGTGATGGGAGTATGACAGGAGTGTGACAGGGGGCCAGTGTGATGGGAGTGTGGCAGGAATGTGAGTGGAGTGCAACAGGCAGCCAGTGTGATGGGAATGTGACAGGAATGTGAGTGGAGTGTGATGGGAGTATGACAGGGGTGTGACAGGCAGCCAGTGTGATGGGAGTGTGACAGGAATGTGAGTGGAGTGTGACAGGAACGTGAGTGGAGTGTGACAAGAATGTGCGTGAAGTGTAACAGAAGTGTGCCAGGAGTGTGACAGGAAGTCAGTGTGATAGTAGTGTGACAGCAATGTGAGTGGAGTGTGACAGGAAACTGGTGTGACAAGAGGCCAGTGTAATGGGAGTGTGATGGGAACAGCATGCAGGCCACCAGACCACAGATGTGCAGGGGTGCCACCCTCACGTAGGTGGGCCACTGAGCTGTATCTCTAGTGTACCCGGGGCTGGCGGCAGCCAGGAGGGCCGCCTAACAGCAGTGTGACGAGAAGGACACACGAGAAGGGCACGTGCCTCACCTTTTCGACACAGGAGTCAAAGAACTCGAGGGCCGCGTGGCGCACAGAGCCGAAGGAGCACTCCTCGATGAACTGGGAGAACATCTGTGTACGCAGCAGCTGCGAGTACAACTTGTGGCTGGAGCGCTCCCGGGACTTAAGGAAGTCTGAGTGGGGCGAGAGGGCCGGGGGGGGGGGGGGCGGTTTACGGGGCTCCCCCACCACTGTGCCCTCCTGACCCTCTTTCCTGGCTCCTGGCCCCGCTAGCACATCCACCCCAATGCCACTGACCAACTGGGCCCATGGGTTCCCCTAACCAGATTGGGGGTCCCCATGGGCAGGGCAACTGGAGAGGGCAGACCCAGGCCAGGCCAGGACCCCTGCAGGCTCCCCCTTCCCCTGCCTCCAGGAGGAACCGCAGGTGCGTGTCGGGTCTGCCAAGGGAAGGAATAAGTGGTTCCCAACCCCCCTCTACCGCCTGCCCCCTTACCCTGCAGGAAGAAGAGGTTGTCAACGTCACGAGCCCCCTCAGAAGGGGCCTGGGTGAGCGGGCGCAGGAAGACCCGGTAGCCTTTGAGCAGACAGGCCATGAAGCGCAGGAAGGCGCCCTGGACCTCCCGCTCCAGCCGGGCCCGGCGGCCGCACACAGCCTCGTAGTCGGTGAGCAGGAACTCCAGGGAGGCCTCCTCCTCGGGGCCAGTATAGGCTGCGGGCCAGGGCAAGACTTACTGGCAGGCCTGGCCCACTCAACCCCCAGCCCCGGCCCAGCTCTCACGGATGCACACTCGGAATTAGGTGGAGGAACAGCTGTGCAACTCCAGCCTCACTGACGGAAAAGTACTGAGGCTGCCCTCCCCGTGGCCGCAATCACAGCCAGCAGAGCCTCCCAGGTGCCCCCACCTGCCACCCCACCTGCCTCCTCCCCCACTCAGGTTTAAGCTCAGGACCCTCTGCAGCTTCCCAGCCCCCACACCCCCCACCGCGCTCACTCTGATCCAGCTGCTGGTACAGGCTGCTCAGCGTGGCCAGCAGGACTTTGTAGGGCCGGCGGGGGAGGGACCGAGGCGAAAGGAGCTTCTTCTCCTCAGTCCTGCCAGACCAGCAGAAGGGAGAAAGGCCGATGGGGGCTCCTTGCTGGTCTCCCCCCAGCGCTATCCCGAGACCACTTTGGGGCAGTCCCCCCGCAAAAGGGCCCGGCCCTCCTACTGGAAGAGTGTGTTGGTGTCCAGGTCAACACAGATGACATCAGTGGGTGGGTCGTGCAGGTCAAAGTAGCTGGAGTGGATGCCCACGATGAAAGGTACTGGGGCGCTCAGCACGTCGGCCAGCACCAGCGGGCACAGTGGGATGTAGGGGCACTGCCAGTGCAGTGGGAAGGTCATCTGCAGCACAAGAGGCAGAGCCAGTGGGGGGGATGGTGGGGGAAGAGCGATGCTGGGGAACCCTGGGGGGGTAGAGGGTGTGGGGAGCAGGGCTGGGGGGAAGGGGGTCCCAGGAGCAGGGCTGGGCAACCCTGGGAGCCAGGGGGTCCCAGAAGCAGGGTTGGGGCGCCCTGGGAACAGGGGGTGTGGGGAGCAGGGCTGAGGTGCCTTGGGGGCAGGGGGTCCCAGGGGCAGGGCTGGGGAGCTCTGGCGGGCACTCACGGACACCAGGGCCTCGCACACGCTGGTGAGGAGATCGGGCCTCAGTGAATGCACCAGCAGCTTTTGCTCAGTGAGCACGGCCAGCAGCAGCGTGATGGCCAGCTCCGGGCCCAGGCTCTGCAGCAGCTGCAAGAAGCTGGCGCCGCTGGGGACAAGGCCAGGGTAAGGGACAGGCCCAGGCACCGAGCTCATCCCTTACTAGGCCTCCCATGTCATTGTTCACGAGCCTGCCCCCCCCGCCCCCACTGGAACTCCAGCACCCATATACCTCAGGGGCAGGGGCGAGGACACAGGCTGGCAGAGCAGTAGGTTGTCATAGGGAGACATCTAGGAGGAGGCAAAGAGTGTGGCAGTGGGGACAGGAAGGCCGACCCCAGTTGGACACCTGCACCCACCCAGCTGCCCAGCTCACCTGCACCAGGATGCGAGGTCTCTGCGGGGAGGGGAAGGGCACGTTGTGGATGAAGTGGGAGATGTGCCTGGGGTGGGGTGAGGGGGAACCCATCAGAGGCAGCACCCCCAATCCACCCAGTGCGTGGCTGCACCCCTCTGCAAAGGCCAAGCCCCCCCCACCCCCCCATCGCCCTACACACTGCTGGGACCATCCCCAGCCACCAACACCTCTAGGACTGGCTGGAAAAGGGCTGCCCTGGGCCCGCCAGCTCCACCACCCGCCTCCCCCCGCAGTGCTCACGCTTCCAAGGGCAGGCGGTGGGGGCCGGACACTGAGTAGCGGTAGAGGAAGGTGAGGAAAGCCCGGAAGGCGGGGAAGGCAGGCCAGCGGGACAGCACGGCGATGGCACGGCGGCTGCGAACCGCCCGGCCCTCTAGGGGCCTGGCCCGCTCCACGGCGCTCAGCAGGCCCAGGGCCCTCGCCTGCCGCTCTGACAGCCGGGACCGGGGGAAGGCCTCGTAGAACTGCAGGGCGGCCCCATACACCTGCGGCGGGGGTGGCAGGGAGTCAGGATAGGCCTAGCCGGGCCCAGAAGGCACCCACTCTTGTACCACTCCCACCCCCCACCCCACATACCTTATCACCGGCAGCACCCGTGAGCACAAAAGTGGAGAAGACGGGCACTGGGTACTTGGTGTGGGCAGGCCAGCATTCAATGGTGGCCCCCATGGGCAGGCAGAAGACGGGCACCGACTCTGGCAGCGGGAACGCCTCATTGTCCTCTTCCGGGTAGCGGCCCAGCAGCTCTGCACCCCAGCAGAGTGGGGATGCCCCGGAGGAGGAAGATCCATCAGGTGCCAGAGGAACAGGACCCGGGGGTCCCAATAGGGCCAGGTGGCAACGGGGAATCTGGGGAACATGGTACAGAGCAGAAGGGCAGGGCCAAGCCAAGGGGGTACTCACCTGCCTCGTACACCAGGGTGTTGGCCTTGGCCAGTCCCACCTTGTAGCACAGGTACACAGCTGGGCCCCACTGCCCCAAGAAAAAGAGACAAGCAGACACACGGCTCATAAAGCTTTCTGGGGTCCCTGCAGGGCAGTCACCCCTTGGGCCCACTGCACTGTCAGAGACTCCCATCCCAGAACACCTTGGTGCCCTGCCCCCGGGCCCCACTCACCATGCCAGGGTTGAGGTTGCGGGGCAGGCGGCAGTACGTATGAGGGGTGCCCTCACCCTTGCTGGGCAGCACAAGGCAGAGGTCAGTGATGCCCAGAGCGTGCAGGCCTGCCCCATCTGCTGCCCGTCGGTAGGTGAGGTAGGTGCGGGGGTGGCCTGGGCCTGGAGGGGCCAGGTTGGCGGAGTGGCTATAGGGCGTCGTGTACAGCACTTGGAAGCCAGTCTTGGGGCGTTCCTTCCCATCATACAATACCCTGGGCACGGGGAGCAGAGACAAGTGTCATGGCCCAGCTGCCCATGCCCCCTCCTTCCCACTGCCTGGTCATGGGCTGCCTGCTCCACTCTTGCCTCTTCTTCTTCATCAGTGATACCCTGTCAGGCCTTCCCGGCTCTCCTCCTGAGACTTGGGGATCAACTCCCTGAATCTGCAACACCCGGTGGGGTTCAACAAACAGCCCCACACCACATAGATCACGGGCAGCAGCTCAGGTATTCCCACCCCAATCTGCGAGGGCTGTGCATGGCCCTTTCCCAGGGGCCTCCAGCCCACCCCTGATACATTCCCCAACCTGTCCCTGCCTCAGGCCCTCCCATCCCAGACCAGCCTGGAAGGGGGCACATACCCCAGCTCCACGAGGGGTGGCCGATCCCGGCCCCTGCGGTAGCAAATCACAGGATGATTCCCTCCCAGGAGCCCTGCGCTGAGCTCCAAGGGGTGGCCCCCGAATGATGTCTGGATGCATGTGTAGCCCTGGGGCACCTCCTCGCCCAGCGCCCTGGCCACAATGGCCACATCCGTGATAGGCTCGGCGGGCCGCGGTGGGCGCTGTGGCCCGCCAGGTTCTGGCAGCCAGGTCTCCTCGGGGATGGGAGCACCGTCTCTCGCAAGCCCGGCTATCACAAAGTAGTCCACGAGCCGGGGGGGCCGCTCCTCCGCCATGGCCCCCCCCTCACTCACTGCATCTGGAAGGGGGGCGACAGAAAGCAAGGAAGCCAGAGTGACCACAGCAGACAGGATCTGCTTCTGTTCCCCTCACTTCTTTGTCCTTCCAAGGCAAGTCTTGGCTTGTGCCCACCATAGCCTGAGATCAGAGACCTGCCACCTCCATACGACTAGACTGACCATGCCTCCCAGTCTTCTCATTGACGACCACGGGGCAAGGGGAGGGCCACCCCCATCCCATCCTAGCTGGGTCTCATTGACCCAAGTGTCTCAGGAGTTTCCTGCCTTCTCCTCCAGCTGGGACATCCCAAAAAGCTCGCAGCCAGTTCGTGAAGAGGCTCTCCTAGGGTGCTCCCAGGTTTCCAGGAAATATTGCAAAAGCCCCCACTTTTGTCTTTTCACTAGACTCAGGAATTCTTTCTCCAGGCTGGGGCCTGCGCACATGCTTTGGGAGTCGCCTCCGCACAACATTGGGTGTGGCCCCAAAAAACCGAAACCAAAAAAAAACCCCAACTCTCTTCCCTAACCTAACTTCACAAACACAGCTAACCCGCCCCCCCCAAAAAAATAATAAACGCTGCCCCCTTGGGCCCGGGGGTGGCTCAGCAGCAGATACTTGTCTTGCACCCTGTGGGAAGCCCTGGATTAGATCCCCCAAAGCATGGTCAAAGAAAACCAAACCAAAACCAGTAGCCTCCATCTCTACTTCTGGCTCCTAAGATATCCCCAGTGAGGTTCCCAGCAGAGTGGGAGACGGCGGGTGTCCCGGTGCCCCCCCCTCCCTGTTTCCCAGCTGGAAATAGAACTTGTCAGGCTTCTAGCACCTGAGTCCTCACCTTCCTCCATGGCCTAACCCCGGAGAGGAGCCCCAGGGAGCCCAGAGCTGGGAAAGAGCTTGGTGGGTGGCGCACCGCGCGGCTGGGGTGCTTCAGAGGGGAAGGGAGAGGACTTCCTGGAACAGGAGGGGAAGCTGCTGCTGGAGGAAGTCAGCCTAGGGGTGTGTGGGGTGAGGGGGGGTGATGTGGGTTATTGGTGGATGTGGGGACAGCTGGAGCAGAGCAGTGACGGTGCCAAGTAGCACCCTGAGACCCATAAAGCCCAAGCGGGAAGAGGAAGCCTCGGGTGATGGGAAGATGTTTAGTCCTACTTAACCGGCCCCTGGGGGACAGGAGGCTTGAAGGGGCCAGGTCAGGCGGGAGCAACAGAACAGGGGTGAAGACGTTTGCCTTGCACGTGGCTGACTGGGTGGATCCCCAGCACCACATAGGGTCCCCTGAGCCCTGCCAGGAATGATCCCTGAGCAGAGCCAGGTATAAAACCCTGAGCACCGTGGGCTGTAGCCCAAATACCAATAAAAAGGCCAGGTCGGTTCCCTCCTTAACCCGGTCCGTGTGAAACACCACCCCTCCCCAACACACACACACACGTACACACACACCAAACTCCTGCTAAATTTAGCATCCAGGTCTGGAGGTGAAGCCAGGAGTCAGCGGTGTCAGCCGCCTGATTTAGCTCGGGGCCGCGGCCCCGGCCCTCGTGCGTGGCAGGCGACAGAGCCCAGGGGTGGGCTGAGCTGGGGAGCGGCGGGGACGCCCCCCACCCTGACACCTGCGCTCCGGCCCCCCCCTCCGCGCCGCGCCGCAAGCAGCCCCTCCCTGGGCGGGCAGGGGGCGCGGGCGCCGCCGCAGGTCGCTCCGCCACGGGCCATGGCAAGTTTGGGGCGCGGGGCGCGCGGCGAGCAGGCGCGAGCAGAGGGGCGGCCAGGAACGTGACGGCGGTGGGGCCGGCCGCCGCGTGACCCGGGCTGGAGGGAGGGTGCCGGGTGCGGGACGGCGCTGGCCAGCTCGGGTGCTGCCCGCGTCCACTTTCACTTCCCCTGGGGAGAGGCACCGGGACCAGAGGTGCAGCGCCCCCAGCAGCCGGGGGTCCCGCCCGCCGCCCGGCCCGCCCGGCCCTGCCCCTACCTGCCGGCCCCGCGACTCCCGGCCGGCCGGCCCGCGGGCAGGGGGCTCGGAGCGCGGGCGGCGGGCGGGCCAGCGGGCGGCGGGGCTACCCGGCCCCGGACATGGCGCGTCCCGACTCGGGCGGCGAGCGGAGGAGAAGCCGAGGTGCGGGCGGGCCCCGCGTGTCGGCCGCGCCGCGCCGCGCGGGGGCTGCTGCTGCTGCGCCGCTCCTCGGGCCGCGCTGGGGGCCGGGTGCTCCTCCGCGCCCCGCTTTCCGCGCTCCCCCCACCCCCCTCGGGGCCGCGGGCGCCGCCGCTCCCGCCACCCCCTCCCGGTCGGCGGCCGTGACCCTGGCGGCGCCGGCCCCGCCTGGGCCGCCTGCAGCGCGACCCCTGGCGGCTGGGAGGGCCCGTTGCACCCAGCCGCTCCCCTCCTTGGGCCGCCCCGCCGGACACCGGTCCCCAGGGGGACCCCAGCGCGCTCCACAGCCGCTGTGTCCACCGGAGAGTAGCCTTGAAACCCCGTGACTTCGGCGGCTGCCCCACTCCCGGGCTGGGGCCACCCTGCATTCCCTGTGGGCCTGAGGCAGAAGCTCTCGGTTCTCGTTTCGGAAAGAGCTTTGGAAAAGAGGAAGAGAAGAGGCAGGGAGCGCCGCAGGGTGTGGGCCAGTGCTGACGAGCCCCTCATCTTCTGCCTTCTGGGTGCAGAGGAAAGCACACCGAGGACCAGCACCCAAGCCAGAGGGAGCAATGTTCCGGCGGGTTGGCCCACAGGCATCCCCCACATGAGTGACCAACTTACACCTGGAGGAAGGGCAGGGATGACCACAGTGCTTCCCTGGGACCTAGTGTGGGGTCAACTCCACACACGCAGACCCTTGACTTCTAGGACATCTAAACTTCTAAGGCCATTGAGATGGAGCCAACCGGCACCCTGCATGGTCTGGTCTTCTTGGGGGCCTTAGCCCCAAGGCCAGGCATGCCAGGGGAGGCTGAGGCCTTTCTCCTGGAAACAGCTGCCAGTGGCCAACTCCTCACAGTCACTCACTGCTAGACCTCAGGATGAGAAAGAGCAGCCAGCCTGGCCAGTGGGATTGATAGTGCAGCTGGCAGGGGAGGGCACACGAGGTGACGCCTGTTGCTGTCCAGTCTACAACCAGTCAGGCCCATGGCTGGGCACAAACCCCGAGGCTGGGGCCACTCCAAAAACCAGAGATAGTACAGTAGGGAAAGTGCTTGCCTTGCATATGGCCGACCTGGGTTCAATGCCCAGCACTGCAGCATGTGATCCTGAGTCCCACCATGTGTAATCCTTGAGCACTGCCAGGTGTGGTTCAAAAGCAAGCACATAAACCACAGTGGTGCTAAGAAGCTGGGATGTGGCTCAGCAGAATATGTGCTTATGTGTATAAGGCTGCAAGTTTGGCCTCCATCAACAAAGCATTCCAGCAGATGAAAGGGCTGATACCCGAACAATTCCCCCATCTGGTCCCAAGTAGTAGACAACTACACTAGGGGTTTGATTTTTTTATTAACATAATATATTTAATAAAAAATAACATCCACTCTGGCTCGCTCCACCACTGCAAGGGGAAGAGTGGTGAGGAGGGGCTGGCACTGCCACCCCTAGCATCCGGACAAGCCCTGCTTGGGGCTCCCCTCAACCCCTGCTTTCCCAACAGGCTCTGACCTCAGACAGACGTTTCAAAGTTACAAGTGCTTTGGGCCCTCCCTTGAACTCCCCCAGGCCCACCCCTTGTGCAGAATTTCAGGGCTACTTGGGCCAAGCCCTTGCCTTTCCTTGCTCTTGGGATCCTTCAGTCGTGTCAGAAAGAGGACCGGGGCAGAGCTGAGTCTCTACTGGCCAGGGGGAGGGGGAGAGGACAGCGACAGGGAGAGGCCACAAACGATGACAAGAGCTGGTCACTGTAGCCGGTCACTGCGGAACGAGTCCTCCACAGCAGGGTCAGGGAGGAGGGCGCACGGGTCACTCAGCATGTTCAGCCCTTCCAGGCCCAGGGGCTCCATGCGCAGCTCCTCCTCCAGTCCCAGCCCCAGCTCCAGCCCAGCCGCTGACACCTCGAAGCCAGGCACTCCAGCCAAAGCTGCCGCGATTTCCTTGGAGAAACCCGGGGAGGCATTGCCTGGGCAGGTGAGAGAGATGGGTGAGGATTCAGGCCCAGGGAACACTCCCCAGACGCCGCCACGCCCTGCCACGCCCCAGACCCCTCACCTGCGAGGGTGATGCTCGGCCCTGAGCCATGGCGGGAACAGTGCGTCAAGTTCTGGTGGTTGAGGGCCTGGGGGTCCTGGGGGCCACTCACTGGCCCCTCGCCCCCTAAAAACCCAGTTCCTTCGGAAAAGCCAGAGGGGTCCAGCACCAGGCTGGCTGATGGGCTCTCTAGGCTGAAGTGCTCCAGCTATGGGCACAGACAAACTCTGAGGTCACAGGCTTCCGAGCAGGGTGTTCCCACCCAGCTCGGCCTGTCCCACTGTAGCGCCTCACCCCAGGAACAGGCGCTGACAGAGCAACAGAAGCAGAGAACGGCCTAGGAGGTGCGGGCATAGCACTTGCTGGGACAGAGCGCTACGTGCAGGGAGAGGGCCGGAGAGAGCAGCGGGCACCCAAGAGCAAACTGCTGGGGAGAGCTGGGGAGAGGGCAGGAGCAGGTGAGAGGCGGGGAGAGGAATCCAGTGCCTGGTCTCCAGGCGGGGGGTGGGGAGCACCCTGACTTCCCAACCCAAGCGCAGCAGCAGTACTTCTCGGGCCCCCAGCCCTCCCCAGCCCCCAGCTTTGGCACCTAGGACGCAGGTACTTACATGGCCCAGGCCAAAGTCATTCAGGGGTCGATGGTACAGCTGCTGCCCATGCCCACTGGAGCTGGCACACGGGGCCCCGTAGTGGGGGGGCTTGCCTGGGGGCTGTCCACCAGAAGGCTGCCCCGAGCAGGCCTGAGTTGGCAACCTGGGCTGTGGGAGAGGCTTGGGGGTAGGGGACTGGACAGGCAAAACCAGACTGGGGGGACTGTATGGGTATGGAGGCAACCGCTGGTCCGTGGGCAGTTTACTGGTGTCCAGGGGGACGCCCTGAGGAAAAACAAGGAGAAGAGGGGCCTTTACCCCTCAGTGCCTCCCCATCACCCACTGCAACACAAACTTGACAATGTTCCCACAGGCACCCCGGGGCTGGTGAAATTTTGAATGAAAATTCAAACGATGCAGCAGAACGAAACTGAGTTAGATGGGTCTGGGGTGCTCCAGGGACTGAGCTCTAGGCCCGCACAGGCTCCGCCGCAGAGCTGCATCCCAGCCCCAGACAAGAAGCCTCCTGACCCACCCCACCAGGGCAGCACTCCTGCTCCTCCACTGTAACTGTCATCAGTCAGCAAGTCCCGTGACCCACCTCTCAGGTGAGACCCCCTGCAGTGGCCTTTGAAGATGTCTGTTCTAAGGTCTCAGAGAACTCAGGAATATGAGGAGAAAGGCTTGGGGGGAAAGCAGAAAGTGGGGGAGTTCGGCTCAGTGTGCCCTAAGTGTGGAGCTCTTGCTCGCCTCTTTTCTACAACTGAGGCACCTGCAGGGCAAAGATGGAGCAGAGATGGGTTGGGGCAGGACAGCAATGGATGGAGAGGAAAGTTGGGCCAAGGAGAGGGAAAAGGAGCGTGAGGCTTAAAGAAGTTGAGCAGGAACAAAAGAGAGAAGGACGGGGAGGGAGGGAGGAGCTGAGGAGAGGCCCTACACGAAACATCTCTAGTTTGGGTGGAAGTATTCCCTAATGTGCTGCGTGACCTGTGAGAGGAAGGGCCTGGTCTCTGGCTAACATCTATAGAGAAAGGGGAGATAGGCCAGGCTGGTGGCCTGGGAGACAGACAGGCAAGGGGGACAGGGAGCAAGCTGAGCCGCCATCTGTGTGGCGCCACTGGGTTCAGCTGAGGGAGACGCCCCTGGGCCCCTGCTGTGCCCAAAAGCAACACAACTTCCAAGCAGACTGGAATGGAGGGGCAGGAACACAGAGAGGAATGGAGGAGACAATGGGACACAGAGCACAGAAGGAAAGAGGGGGGGAGGGGGGACTAGCGGGGGGGGGGGGAGAGGGAGACACACATGGTGGGCAGCACGCATACCTGAGTGATGGAAGACAAGGTGGGTGACATTGTTGGCGAGAACTGTTTGGGCAGCTGCTGCTGGGACCTTCTGGCATCGGCTGGGCCCGCGGGCAAACTCAGGGGACTGAGGGGTACTCGGCGGTGGCGCGGGGAAGCCCCAGGGGTAGAAGCAGAATATGGGGGAGCACCCAGGCCAGGAGAGGAAGTGGAGGAGGAGGAGGAGGAAAGGGCCGGGGCACTGAGTGAGGGGTGACCCAGGGAGGCGGCGGGTAGGGTGTGGCGGGCTAAGGAGGAGGCAGGCAGCGAGGGGTGACTGTGGGAGCCCTGGAGCTGGGGCTGGGGGCTGCGCAGGGACGCCTGCAGGTTGGGGTTGCTTAGGGAGGGCTGCAAGGGCGGGTGGCTGAGAGGTGAGTGAGGTCCTGCAGGCACAGACAAGAAACCAGAGAGGCCCCCATTACTGTGGGGAACTGGGCCTCTGGCCAGATAGGCAGCAGCAACGGGACCCTGGCGGTGGCAACAGTGACCTCCCTACTCTGTCCCTTGCGGGGAGGGTGGTGCTGCCCACCCGGGGTGCAGTGCCAGCTTCTCTCTCAGAAGAGCCACAACTACTAGTTTTCCTGGGCAGGAGGCTACAGTGAGGGGACTTGAGGGGGCAAGGGGTGGGGGCAGGTGGTGGCTGGTGTGGGCAGTCATGGGGCTCCCAGTGCCTGAGCCTCCTACCCCTCACCCCCTTGGTTAAGTAGCCCCCAGAACACCTGGCCAGGACAGCCGCTCACCTGGTGCATCATAGCCCAGACCCAGGCTCCCGCTGATGCCCAGGTGGGTCATGGTGTGGGTCAAGTTGGAAGTGCTACTGCCCCCGCTCAGGCTGGGGTAAGCCGTCTCCTCGGGGTCCAGGGGGACAGGCAGAGGCGGGGGAAAGTGCAGATTGGTGAGGTCAGGGAGGGAGCCTCCCGTGTTCATGGCTGGTGGGAGGACAGGCACGGTGGCAGGCTGGTCAGGGGATGGAAAGATGCTGGGGGAGAAAGAGGAAGCAACTGTTAGAGGGGGCGAGTGGGCCTCTCCTCTGAGAGGCCAGCCCCTCCACTTCCCAAGAGTCCCCCCCTGCCAGCCGCTCTCCTTGAGGCACTTACTTAATTCCAGGAACTTCACAGGAACGAGGTCGGGAAGAAGATGAGGTCAGCTGAGAAGCCAAAAAGAAAGTGGAAAATGAGGCACCTGAGACCCGGAGGATCTGGCCCAGGGCAAAGTGGGAGATGCGCTTACCTTCTTAGCATCCCATGGCTTCAACAAGTGCTTGTCATCTAGTAAGTTCTGCTCAATGGCAGGGACTTGAAAGAGAAAGGCTGGGATGAGGGTCAGAGGAGTAGCCATAGGGGCAGGGGTCTCACAACCAGGCTTCCCACAAAGCCTTGACCCCAAGACAGAGATTCTTGGGCATTCAGGAGTGGAGCAATGAGAGGTACATACCTTTGGAGTCCATTTCCCCATCCAGAAAACCTGCAAAGGATGTGTGTGGCCAGGTGGGCTCAGGACCAGCTGTCCAGCGAAAACCAAAACGCAAACCAAAACTCTGTGGCTGCCCCACTCCCCTGCCCAGGCACATGGCACTCACCTCCACGGCGGCCAGGCAGGACACTGGAAGGTGCGGGACCCGGATAGGTGTCCTGAGGACTGGGGTTCATCACGCTCGTGTGAAGGGCAGAATCAGAGCTTGTCCTGTGGGGGAACGGAAATGAGTTGTACTGGTGACAATCTTTCTAGTCCCCAAGCTTTGCTTAGCACATAGGACGATGCCAGAAACTACAGACGAGATGTGACTAGGGGCCAGGGAGAGCTCAATGTAGACATGTGTGAGGCTCTGAGCACTGGCAGGTTGGAGCAACCACTGTACCACCTGACATGGCCCCTCCCGCCCCCAGCACCACCAGATGTGGCCACCATGGAAACACGCGGCACTATGGGAGGTAGGGCCATCACCTGTTAAGCGCAGATGGCAGGCGAAACAACTGTCCCTTCTCTGCAGGGAAATTGCCCCACGGCATCGTCCTGAGAGGGAAAAAACAGTCACGAGGAGGAAGGGGAGAAGCAGACAAGACAGCAAGCAGGGAGCGGGCAGAGTGAGGTGGCCAGGAAGGAAGGGGAATGGGCGAGGAACCCAGTCTCTGCCTGCCTGGAGCTGCTGCCTGTGAGCCATAAGCCCACTCCCCCCTCAACAATCCAAAAAAAGCTGGAAGCCTTCCATTGCTCCCTGCCAGGAGAAGCTGAATGTGACTCTCAGAGCAGAGAAATTGCTGGGGATGAGGACTGTGGACAGGACAGACAGGGGGAAGGGTGCAAAAATCCGAGAGGGCTGACGCGCCATCTGGCCTCCATTTGGACAGGAGGCAGCCATGCAACCACCTACACTCACAGCATTGCCCTCCCCCCCCCAACCCCAGCACACACCCCAGCCAGTAGCAGCGTCCATTGGTCGTGCCCTGGCAGGGCCGGAAGGCTTGGCCGCGGTGTCAACATGCCCAAAACTGGACTCTGACCCACCTCCTCTACCGGCCTCAGCCCTCCCAGCCCTGCTGTGATGGGAGCAGGTACTGCTGAGAGCTTTGCCCAGCTCCAACCTAGCCACCATCACAGCCAAGAATGGGCAGAAGGGCAGGAGGGCCACCTACCCGCCACACTTACCTCCGCCAGCTGGAGTCCGGGGGTGGAGATAAGTAGGCAGGGCTGTAGGGGGAGCTGTCCACGTGAGCAACGCTAGTTAAGGAAAAAGGAGTGACGAGAGGGAAGAGAAGATGCAGCTCCCAGGAATGGAGTGCATCCCTGGCAAGAGCAAGGCCACAAGTTCCATCCCTAACCACATGGGTCCCCAAGCACCTAGCTGAGTTTAGCCCTAACAGTCCCCTGAGTACCAACAGGTGTGGTCCTGTGGCCCCAGACATCACTGTGCCCCAAGTCTGGAATCATCCATGGAACCATTAGGGAGCCACTGCCCCACACCCCCACCCTGAGTGGGAAAAGAGGCAACAGATGAGTTGTTTAAAAAAAAAAAAAACAGCCAACGGGCTGGAGTGGTAACACAGCGGGTAGGGTGTTTGCTTTGCACACAGCCGACCCGGGTTCGATTCCCAGCATTCCATATGGTCCACCGAGCACCGCCAAGAGTAATTATCTGAGTGCAGAGCCAGGAGCAACCCCTGTGCATTGCTGGGTGTGACCCAAAAAGCAAAAAAATAAAATTAAAAAAAAAAAAAAAACAGGAGAGTGGGGAAGGTACTTGCCCTGCATGAAGTCAACCAAGGTTCGATGTCCAATACCCCAAGGGTTCCCTGATCACCAGCAGGAGTTGATCCCTGAGCACAGAGCCAGTAATAAACCCTGAGCAACCCCAGGTGAGGTCCAAAGCCAAAACCAAAAAATGAAAAAAAGAGAAAGGAAGAAAGGAAGGAAGGAAGGAAGGAAGGAAGGAAGGAAGGAAGAAAGAAAGAAAGAAAGAAAGAAGTAAAGTTTTTTCCATAGAGAATGGAAGAGAGGGAGACAATCAGGCCTACCTAGTGGAGCTGAAGAGGTGTAAGAGACACCCGGGCAGGACCCCAGGGAGACCGGCCTTCGGGGGAGTCTGAGACTGAAATCTTAGAACTGAAAGGGAGTAATCAGGTGAACAGGAGGAAAAGCACTCCATTCTAGGAGGCAAAGCAGGACACAAAACTCCTGACAGCACAGAGCAAGCTGAAGGAAGGACCAGAAGTAGCAACCAGAGACAGGGCAGAGCCTTCAGAACAGCAGCTCTCTGACTAGAGCCAGTAATGACACGTGGGCCCATGTCAGGGCGGCTGGGAAAGGTACAGCTACAAGACGAGCAGGACCAGACAAGACTGAAAGTCCCTTTCTGTCTCAAGCCCACCACACCACCTCCAGGCACTCAATACCCCCCGAAGGATATGTGGCGGGGGTAGCGTCGGAGTGGAGACACCATTCTTCGGGGGTCTCGCTGCACCCGCTCAACCAGCCCATGGTGCCGAGTGCTCCTAGATGAATCCAGAGGGGAGTGAAGGGGGCCCTAGAGAAAGATAAGAGGAGTCAGCAGGATGAGCCACTGGCATGCTCATGTGCCCACACCGGTACCTTCACTCACCTGGAGCTCAGCCAGGCCACAGCCGATCTGGTTGACATTGGGCAGAGAACCCCCATAGTGGGAGCTCCGAGTATATGCCAGGCGCAGCTTCTGGGCCTGTAACTGAGAAATGGGGCAGATAGAATGTCAGGGAGTGTCCCAAGCAGCACTGTTCCTGTGCCTTTGGACACACATATCATCCCTGTCTCCTGGGCAGGTGACAGTCATTGCTCTTTTGGAGGTATGTGCCAGTGATAGAGAGATAGAGAGACAGAGAGAAAAAGAGAGACATCTGCAGGGGAAAAAGGGGATCTATAGAGCAAGAAAGCGGGAAAGGGAAAAGTGCCAGGAAGCAGAGACGAGAGAGGAGGAGATGGGGCAGGAGTGAAAGAAAGATCAATTAGTAAGGTGAAAAGAAGAAGGACCGGACAGGAGAAATCCAATGCAGGGATTTCTGTGACCTGGTGGAGCCATCAGAGGGAACATCAGGGCCTGGCAGCACCCTCCAGGCAGGGCCTGTCCCAGTTGGCAAAAGGCTAAACAGAGTCCCTGAGCGGTTCCAGGAGCCCCCAGGCTAGTCACGTGGGCCGCCTCCTGTAGAAGGGTGCTGGGAAGGCCCCTTCGCTCTGTCCTGCCTGTGCAGGTTTCATGGAAGGCCACAGCACCACTGAGAGGGTACCTTTTCCTTGCCCAGTGCTGGGGGCACGTGCCTCTGGGCACTGCCACAGCCCCGCCTCTGCAAGGCTACACAGGACCTGTGCCCCTGAAGGAGAACCCTGAGGCATAAAGGCCTCCCAGCCAGAAAATGTCCACAACCTGGGCACTCTTCTGCCTGAGCTCCTTGGAGTCCTAACAGCTCTGAGATGGGAGGGGAGCAGCAGTCCCCCGACCTGGTCTGGAGCAGCCTGGCTGGCTCACCCCACTTCAGGAGCAATCTCTGGCCCTGAGCAGCTCCACAGTCCTCCCTATCCTGGTTCTCTCTTCAGCTCTCCTGCCACACAGCCAAAAAAAAAAAAAAAAAAAGGCTCCAGAGCAGCAGATGAGGGGTAAGTTCTAAGAGCTAGTGGGGTCACAGCATTGCACATAATCAATTCCAGAACTCAGAACTGACATTCTGTACCAGGTCAGTCCAAGAAGCTTTGGGTTTGGAATCCCTTCAAAGCAGCATATTGTTCAGTAGGATCCGGCCCCATCTGCTACAATGAGCCTCCCAGCTGGCTGAGTAACAAGAGGAGCCTGGATGTCCCCTCAGTCTCCAATTCCGGGGTTCCAGTCTGTCCCTGTGTACCTCCAATGTGTCAAGAGATGTCACCCAGCAAAGATGAAGGGGCAGAGGTGTTCTTCACACAGATATGGGTCCCAGCTTTGTCTGCACAGAGGTCCTCAGATTTTCCCGGGCCAGGAAGGGTTCAACAGCCTTTCACCTGCTCTCTTGACTCAGCCCCAGCAGGACCCAGCTGGGACAGAATAATAGCTACATCGTGATCCGCAGGCAGTGTCAGTGTCAGTGGTTTCTGCTCACACTCAACACACAGGACTTTCCAACCCACCTCTCTCTGTTCTGATTCCCACAAACTGGGACGCATGATCTCCAGAGACCCAGAAGGAACACACACACACACACGACCAACAGAATGAGAGAGATACAAACTGAAGCGTGCCTGGCAAGAGGAGAGACGTATCCACAGAGCAGGACAGAGCTTTGCAATCTGGGATCCATCTCCCGACAAGTACCCTGGTCCTTCCACCAGAGAGGGTCATTACAGTAGCACACCTGGGTCATCACAGCACCTCATCTGGGTCACTACAGTATCTCATCTGGTGGTCACAAACTTACCTCACCCAGGGTCACTATGCACCTCACCAGGGGGCAATAAAGTACCTCACCCAGGTCAGCACAGTACCTCATCTGGGTCACTACCATACCTCACCCAGGGTTCCTACAGTACCTTAAATGGGGGTCACGACAGTATCTCACCTGGGGATCTAAAGTACCTCACTTGTGGTCACTGTAGTAACTTACCTGGAGTTACAACAGCACCTCAACTGGGGTCACTACAGTACCTTACTCAGGGTCACTAGAGTACCTGCCGGGGGTCACCAGAGTACCTCATCCTGGGGGACGCACTACAACCCCTCACCCAGGGACAATAGAGTTATTTCACCAGGGTCATTACAGTTACCTTATTGGGGTCACTACAGTACCTTACCCAGGGTTACTACTTCATTGGAGTCACTACAGTGGGGGGGGGGGGGGAGAAGGGGGAAGGGACGGGTGTCACTTCAGTACCTCACTCTTTGGGGGGGGGGGTCGCTCCAGCACCTCATGGGGCAGGGGAGGATGTGCCAGGACCCCGCTGCTCTGACACCTGCGCGCGCCAGGCTGGGTCCCCGGCCGCCCCGGCTACCCGGGAAAGCGGCGGCCCGGACCACAGCGACCACGGCCCCACGCTCCGGACTTCACCGTCGCTGCCAGGAAACCACGAGAAACGCTCGAGCGGAGGAAACCCGGGTGGAGCGGCGGGGACTTCCTGGCCCGCGCCGAGGCCCAGCACCCGCACCCCGATGCTCCGCGAGCGCCCGCGGGCCGGCTCGGGAGGCAGCAGGACCCCCGCCGTCCCGCCCCGTGGTCCCCGAGCCCACGTCGCAGGCTTTCGACCGCCACCGCCACCGCCACCGCCGCCGCCGCCGCCGCCGCGGCCAGCGCGCGTCTCGGGCCCCGGCCCCGGCCCGCGGCGTCCCCGCCTCTCCGCCGCCCCAATCCCGCTCCCTGGCGTGGCCCCTCACCCGGGTGGAGCCGATGTCCATCATCACCTCCTCGAAGGCCGCCGTCTCCTCGGCCTGACGCTGCTTCTGTAGCGCGATCTTCTCACTGAACTTGCGCGGATTGGACGTGGAGGCCGTGGCCGAGCCGGGCCCGTTCGCCCCCGACGTCGCCATCTTCCTCCCCCGCGCCTCTCCGCCACCCCCGGGGAACCAGCCACGGCCTCCGCCGCGGGCTTCGGCCCGGCTCTCGCAGCCGCAGCCGTCGCCGCCTCAGCTCGCCCCGCGAAGCCGGCCCCAGCCGAGCCCTGACCCGCCGCGCGCGGGGCCTGCCGGGAGTTGTAGTTTGTTTACGTGACCCATGCCCGCCCGCAGGCCCGCGGCGCGGAAAGGAAGCGGACACCACCTCCCGGCAGCCCCGCCGGCCGCAAGTGCGGGGCCCTGGCTCCGCCCCGGCCCCGCCCCACGCGGGGCAGCCTGGGAAACGTAGTTCCAGATGGGTCCCCGCCTACAGACGCGAAGGGGAGAGGGAGTCAGAGAGGAAAGGAAAAGGGGAGGAAAGGGAAGGGGTGGAGACAGGGAGGGGAGAAGGAAAAGGCCAAAGAGTAAAGATCTGGGCCGGAAAGATAGTACAGCGGTTAGGGCGTTCGCCTTGCACACGCAGCTGACCGGGGCTTGATCCCTGACACCACATATGGGCCCCCAGGAATGGTCTCTGAGCACAGAGCCGGGACTATGCCCTGAGCATGGCTGGGACCAAGGCCTGAGTACTGCTAGGTGGTGACCTAAAATTTAAAAAACAAAGGTATCAACCGCTGGAGAACTGGACACTAGTAGCCTTACACTGGCCCAGTCAGATTCAAAACCCAGCATAGACAGCTATGGTCCCCTAGCCCAAAGGCCACAAGCCCACCCCTTTCCCAGGACAAACAAATCAGACTGTACCGAAACATCTTTTATTTGGGGTAACACGTCCCAAAACAAGTCAGTTAGTAAAATAGATTCTAGAGAAAATGGCCCTGTGCATAGCCCTCCCTCCCCCAAAATAACCCTGGGGGTGAGCCAGCCCCTGTCCCCTGGAGCTCCGCTGGTATAAAAAAAGTTTTGGCAGCTCAGCATTTGTCACCCCGGTGCAGGGCATCATGTCCATGTTCCCTCATCCTAGGGTGCAGCAGTGTGCAAGCTGGCAGCCCTGCCAATCATCCTTCCTGCCCCAGCCCAGCCCAGGCCTCTGCCCCAGGCCAGGATCCAGGACCAGAATGAAGAGCAAGCAGCACCCCTCTACTGAGAGAAGGGCAGGGCTTAGTGCCCTCACTGTGCTTATGGGTAGTTATTTGGCACTTTAAAGAGAGAAGCCGGAGAAGGCACCAAAGCTGGCAGAAAGGGCTGTCTGACAGCGTCTCTAGGAAGGATGGAGAGGGAATAGACCGGAGATCAGGGGCCAAGGGGTTTGTCACTCCAGCTCAGAGGGCTGAAATGGGGTACGGCCCTTATCTCATAGCTGCTGGGAACCCAACCTCAGCTGCCCTAGTCAGTCTGCCCCATGAGTAGTGTGTGACATGGATTCTAGCAGTCCATGAGTGATTTCTCTATGAATACCCTCCCTGATCATCTTCAGTGATTTGATGATCCTTTGTCCTCTGGCAAGGGGCCAGATTCCTGTCTGAAAACTGCCCCTCTCATTGGTCAGTTAGTCCCAGAGGTTCTCTCCCCATCTCGAGAGCGCTCTGGTCCTCAATGCTGTCCTTTCCCATTCTGTCCTGATCCCCACAGACTGGATAGAGGAGGGTTAGGAAGACTCCAGGCCCCTTTCATCCCCCTCCCTCTCGGGCTCCCCTAGACTTGGATGAAGAGCAGGCCAGTGAGCAGGGCAAAGCCCGCTAGGAGCAGAATCACCTTGAGGATCCTCTGCTCAGGAGTGGCTAACTCCTGGGGCAGGATTTCCAGGAAAGTGATATAGAGAAAGGTGCCTGCCGCCATGCCCTCCAAAACAGATTGGGCCAGCTGGTGCAGCGGCCCCGCTGACTGTGCCAGAGCCGCACCCAGCCCAATGCCCAGAGGCGTCATGCAGGAGAAAAGGAGCCCACAGCCAGCCACCACCTGAGCTCGCAGGCGGCTCTGCAGCAGCCGCAGGGACAGGCTGACAGCCAGGATGCCCTTGTGGAGCAGTAAGGCCAAGCACAGCTCCAGGGCCCGAGCCCGGTCGCGCTGCAGCCCCACGGCCAGGCCTTCAAACACGGAGTGCAGGGCCAGCGAGAAGACCAGCACACAGGCACGCAGCGCTGAAGGGGCGGCAGGGGTGCCGCTGGCCTGTGGGAAGCCGGGTCCATCATGCCAGTGCTGAGGAGCACCATTTGCTGTTCCCAACAGAGCCCTGGTCTCCTCTCGAGGCGGGGGTCCCGACTGCTCCTTGTAAGCCAGCGTGATCTGCTCCATCACCAAGACCAAGAAAAAGCCCATGGCCAGGATGAACTCTTGCAGGGGGAACTGGAGCTGTGGGCAGAAAAGCCATGTTCTGTGAGGTCCAAGTAACACAGACACTAAGTCACATAAAAGACACACAACATAACACACAGTCCCAACCGTCAGAACGGCATCATTCACCAGTGTTACATGTACACCAAGCGTTCAGCTCTGGCACTGGTAATACGTTTGGCTGGGCAATGTCTGGTTGTAGAGGCTGTGGGCAGCATTGCCAACCTCTCACCCTTAGATGCCAAGAGCAGGCACAGTACCCTCACCCACTGAGATGTGACAACTGAAACCTTTTTCAGATGTTACCAGATGTTTCCTGGGGAGAGGAAATCAAACCAATTCCATCCGAGAGCTCTGAGAGTCGGTGACAGAGCTGGACAGTGTCACTTGTGTACTACAAAGGGTGATGCACTGGTTCACAACCACCCCACTCCCACCCATCCCGTGCTCACACACAGGAGCCACGCACTCTTGTGGGCATTCAGGCTCACAGCTCTCAGGATACAGGTCAGTCACAGATATGCAGAAGGTTCCCTTTCAAGTCACTTTCTCTGTGTCCAGAGTATGAATGCAGAAGAGCCCAAAGTAAGTCTAAGTTTTTCCCATGAGTCGTTCCTCTACCTTAGCCATGATCACCTCACAGCTCTGAGTGATCCAGCACTTCCGGTGAGTGCGGATAGGCCCTGGGAATGGGACCCCAGCCCTTCTCAGTTTACACAGTTTACAGGGGTCTCTATGTCCAGCCCTTCAGGAAAGCGGCAAGAGGATAAAGATGATTTTTTTTTTTTGGTTTTGCTTTGGAAGCCACGCTTGGCAGTGCTAAGGGGCTGCTGTCGGGAGGAGGGGGTTGGTCTCAGAGGCCGTGTGGTGCTGAGGCTCAAACCCTCGCCTCCTACATGCAAAGCCCACACATCAGCCCTGAAACTGATTGTTGGGGCACTGCTAACTTCCTGGAGGCTGGAATGGAGGAACCCAAGGGCAGGTCATCCACCTGATTCAACGGGTACGTGAGTGAGACTGGAGTAGCTGGGAAAACACATACACCACATCACAGACAATCAATCCCAGGAGCCTTGCTGGAGGCCATGGCACGACTGGCCACAGCCCCACACCAAGCAGCCCCTCCCCAGATACGGGGCCACATGCAGCTGGGTAATGCTCACTGTCACGTGCAGGGCTGCTAGTGCCTCATCTATGGCAGCCAGGTAGTCAGGCAGCAAATCCAGGAGGCAGGTGGCCAGAAAGACACCCCCAGCAAAGCAGCTGACCAGGCTCAGGGCTTTCTGGCGGGAGGCTGTGAGGGGAGAAATGGGGAAGCATGGTGGGAGTGAGCTCAGGAACCTTCTCTCTGGATCCCACAACCTCAGCCCAAGCAACAGTACAGAAGGTAAAAGCACTGGCCTGGCACGGGGCCCTCCAGGGTTCAACGCCTGGTACCACGCAGGGTCCCCTGAGGAGTAATCCCTGAGCAGGGAGCCAGGTGTAGTCCCCAAAACGAAACAAAAGTAATCGCTCAATAGTTACCTATGCTGTCTCTTCTAAGCAAGAGAGCTTTATTCAAGGAAATTCACTTAGAAACACATGAAGGAAGAGAGACAGAGGAAGTAAGTGTTCATGGGAGAATATGAACTTGAGAGAGGAAGTTGTCCCTTCTTTGGGGGGGGTGGGGGGGAATAGAAGACCACCCCTGGCGGTGCCAGGACTTAAACTAGTGCTGCCCAAGGTCCTTTTACCTTTGTTATCTCTCCAGCCCCACTGTCGCCTCTTCTTGGGTCACCTTCCCTGGCCCACCACACCCAGCGCCCCAGGAAAAGGGGAGAAGCCCCTGCCCCCCCCCCCACCCCCGAGGGAAAAAGAGAGGCCGGAGGCTGTACCTGAGGAGCCGGGCTCGGCCCCTGCCCGGCGCAGCACGCAGATGGGCACCAGGCTGCAGACCAGCGTGAGCACCAGCAGCAGCACCAGCGCACCCAGCTTCACCTCCAGCCCCACGGGCAGCTGGGGCTCGGCAGCCGCGGCCTCGGGGCGCCACACCAGCAGCTCCGGCTCTCCCCAGGGACCCATAGCGGCTGCGGTGGCGTCCCGGGAGCTCCCAGACTCTCAGACCTAAGCGGGAGAATGCGAAGAGGAGGGGACGATCACGAGAGGGGAGGCCGCACAGGGGAAGTGAGTGGTCAGCAGAGGCCACTCTCCGACCTGCCCCTGCCCCAGCCCCGGTGACTCATTCCCTCGCTCCGGGGCACGTTCCTCCCAGCAACCCGCGCTGGGGCCCGCCCGGGGGCTGCTTCGGGACTCCCCAAGATCTCACCGGGACAACCGGGATGTTGGGGTGCCCGAGGGAGCGCAGAGGTCAGCCCCCTCCATGCAAGAGGGCATGGGTGGACTCGGGCTGGTGGAGAGACCCGGCGGGTGGCTTCGGGGACACCCCCGCAACTGGACGGGCCCGGCCACCGCCTCCGCCTCCGCCCCCCGCCCCGCCCCGGCGCAGGCCCCCCGAAAGCCAGCGCGGCCGTTTCAGGCGGCAACCCCGCGGAGCAGCGGGAGCCGCGGGCCCCGGCGGCCGAGGGCGGCGTCTGGCTGGGGGGGGGGGGGGTCCCGGGAAGCAGGACCGGGCCGAGCCCCACTCGCGGGAAGCCGCACTCACCGTCGCGGGGCTCGCGCGACGCCGCATTCGCGCGGTTCCGGCCGCCGCTCGGGAATTCCCGCCCCCGCCGTGCTCCCCAGCCCCCGCGGCCGCCGCGTCCCCGCCGCCGCCGCCAATGACCGCGCCGGGGGCGGGGCTTGCGCGTGAGTGACGTGAGCGAGCAGCAATCGGAGCGGAGGCGGGGACTGCGGAGAGCAGCCGGGAGCCAGGGAAGGGCTCAGCGAGCGAACCTCGGAGTTGGAGGCCGGGGGATTCGATGTGTGGGTCTGCACCGGCAGATCAGTAAAGGCTCTGGTCATTTGGCACTTTGTTTTGTTTTGTCTTTTTTTTTTTTTTTTAAGAAAGCTAGAAACCCCGTGCGCACACACTCCAGCAGACCCAAGACTTCCATCCTGGCACTGGATAGTATATCGTGTAGGGCATTTGCCTGGCACGCAGCTAATCCAGGTTCGAACCCTGGCACCCCTTTATAGTTCTCCGAGCACCGCCAGAAGCAATTTCTGGGTGCAGAGCCAGTAATCTGAGTATTGCCCGATGTGGTGGGAGGCGGGGGGGGGGGGGGGGGAGGGGGGGGAAGAGTCTTCCACCCCACCTAAGACTCCCTGGTCTTGGGTCAAAGTTTTCTCAGCCTTCTTCGGGAGGACTCTAAGATTCTTTTTCAGGCTGTTGTTTGGGTTTTAGATCACACCCAGTAATGCTCAGGGTTTACACCTAGCTTCTGCGCTTAGGGATCACTTCTCTCAGGACCCTGTGATGCTTCGCAAGGATCGAACATTGCAAGGCAAACTTTCCTCCTGTAGCACCTGTCCAGCGTCTCTTTCTTTCACGCACTTGGCAAGGAGAAAGACATTCCCCCTTTGGGGTCACTGCTTTGCTTTGCTTTTCCCCACAACCTTGGGCAAGAAAGGGGAAAGCCCAGGCAGAGCTGAAACAAGGAAGAGCAGGAAGGGCGTTTCTTGGAAAGCACTCCTCTTGGACAGCCCACAGCCTAAGTCACCCTCCCTGAGGTCTCTGCCTGCTCCGAGTGGGTGGAAAGTGCGAGGATGCTGAAATGCTGAAAGCTCAGGTGTCTGAAATGCCCACACCCCCTAAGTGATCTTCCTGCCCTGCTCAGCACAGCGTCAGATCCAGCCTCTCCACTACCCTCTCTTCAGGGATGCTGGCACTTTGTTCCCTACTGCTTGAATGGACTGGGGTTCCGCTCAGAACCTTCATTTTTACCTTCTAAATATCCTTGGTCAACAGTGCTATCAGTCTTTTAACCTCAAGCAGAGGAGAGTAGGAGATAGAAAAATAAAGATCTTGCCTATTCTTTTTTTTTTTTTTTTTTTTTTTTTTTTTTGCTTTTTGGGTCACACTCGGCAATGCACAGGGGTTACTCCTGGCTCTGCACTCAGGAATTACTCCTGGCGCTGCTCAGGGGACCATACGGGATGCTGGGAATCGAACTCGGGGGTCAGCCGCATGCAAGGCAAACGCACTGCCCTCTGTGCTATCACTCCAGCCCCTTGCCAATTCTTTTTTTGGGGGTGGGGGTGGGGGTGAGGAGCACAGCTGGCTGTGCTCAGAGATTACTGCTGACTCTGCTCAGGGATCGCTTCTGGAGGGGCCTGGGGGACCATATGGGGTGCTGGGGATCAAATTGGCTGGCAGTGTGAGGGGATCAAATTGGGTGGCAGTGTATGAGGGCAGGTTTTTCCTAACAGACACTAGACAGGAAAAAAAGAGGAAAGTTAGACTAACCAGTTGGTGCCAGAATTTCCCTTACATCTAACATTAGCAGAAGCATTTAAAAAAAAAAATTCCATTTGATCAATGTCTGCGTGCAGCCTGCCAGGAAATGCTTTAGCATTGTAGCTCTAGCTAAAATGTAAGCAAGAATAACTGCTTTCCTTTGTGTTAAGCAGACTTCTAGAAAGCTTGCAAAGCGTCACAATTTGAACATGATGAAGAGAGATAATCCGGGAAGGGTAGGAAAGCCCCTAGAGCATTTTGGTGTAAGAGGACAATGCGATCCGGGCATCTAAATCTTGACTATGTCGACAGGTTATTTATCTCCCTACTAAGAGTCGGAGTCATGTCGCAGGAGAACCCTAATATGATGGCTCTAATCCATTCACGGAAAATTTCCCCAACTTCCTCGCACTTTATCTCCGGCTTTTACCCGCCCTCTGGTGCATCGCCAGCCAATCTCCTCCTGGCGAATAGGAACCTCCAGCATCACTGATTGGCCTCCTTTACTGACCGCCCACTCTGACCCGACTCCTAGCAGTTTGCTGTGCTTTGCCACATTGTACAGCTGCAGAGAGCGCCGCCGCGGGTGGGGGAACGGATGCAGCTGTAAATCTTGGGTGATGTTATCTTCCTAGGTCTGTGTTCATCGCTGGCATGGTCACCCTTTAATAAAATTCATACACCACCCTCCAACTCCAGGGGATGGAGATGTAGCTTCGTGGCAGTTCAATCAATCCCGCACCGCAAAATAAATTAATACAAAACTGAAGTCCAGACTAGAGAGATAGCTCCATGGGCTGGAGCACATATATGCTTTGCATGCTAGAACTCGGTTCTGATCCTGGCACCGCCAGAAAGTTACTGCAGCAGTAGCCCCTGGTCCCAGAGAGGCGTAGCATCAAAACAAAAAACAAAATTGATGCTCGAGGCATGGTCAGGTACGAAAGCCTCTGGTGCTTGGGTCCCAGCCATCTCTTCTCCCGGGAGGACTCACCCCAGTCCCACACCGCAGGAAGATTTACAGTTGTTAGAGGGCGGGGTCTAGCTGTTGGCTGAGTCTGGTTAGTTGGAGACTCAGACCCAGAGCCCAGTCCTCCCACATGTGGCGCCCCTACGTGGCTGCAGACTGGGTGTGACCGACTTTCCCCGGGTAAGGCTAGGGCGGGGCTTGGCAGTGCAGGTCCAGGATGCAGATCCTGGAAGGAAGAAAAGGTATAGTGTTTGGGCCAGGCTGGCTGGGCAGGGCTGGCCTCTCCTGGAACAGGTGAGAGCAGCGAGGCTCCTTGGTCTGACTGTAGGGATAAGGCTGGAGACAAGACGGATCACCAGGTGAGGAATGGGAAACCCGGAAGCAGGAATTGGAGGAACCCAGAAATGGTTGAATGGTGGGGGGACTGGTAGGGGGGAGAGGAGAGGGGTTGGGCATTCTCTTTCTGCAGCTCTTCCTCAACACCCCTGCACCCTGGCAATCATTCCCCAGGATGGATTTGGTAGCCCCTGGCCTGCTGGATGTGTGGCTGGAGCCTCCAGAAGATGCCTTCTCTCCAGGAGCTTTCCTGGAGCTGGGACTCCAGGGGCCCCCTCCTGAGGCCCCGGCAAATAGGCTACAAGAACAGGGGCTGCAAGGCTGGGGCTCTGGCGGGAGCCTTAGCTGCGTGAGTATAACAGTCATTATGGGGGTGGCCTGACACAGGGAAGCCTAAAGACTGAGCCTCTGGAAAAGAATGTGCGAGGGTCCACTGGCTGGTGTACTGTCCACTGCACATGCACACTCTTTCTGCAGGGCCTTCGAGAGAGTGAGCCCGATGAGCTCCTAAAGCTTTTCATCGACCCCAATGAGGTGTACTGCTCTGATGCCTCTCCTGGCAGTGACAGCGGCATCTCTGAGGATCCTGGTCGTTCCGACAGCCCACCTGCTTCCCTGGCCCTGGGCTCCCCTGCCCTCTATGAGGTTGTCTATGAGGCAGGGGCCCTGGAACGGGCGCAGGGGGAAGCAGGGCCGGCAGCAGGAGTCCTCTCTATCCAGCTAGGTCAGTGTTCTTCATAGGCAGTTGCCAGCCTTGGCCCTTCCCCAAGCGGTGACACTCCCCAGGTCCGGCTGTCACAGGACATCCTCTATCTCTCCTGCTAGTGCCTTCTGTGCCCTCGGATGGATGGAACCCAGCATTCCCGGTCAACACCTCCACGGCCCACCAGCTGTCTCTGGACACTCACACCCACATCCTACCTAGACCAAGCACCTTAGTCCCTGTACCTCCTGCTGTGCTAGTGAGTCCCAGGCATTTAGAGCCAACCATAAATAGCACTTTGGGTTTATTTGGTTTGTTTTGGGAGGAAGGGGCACACACAGTGGTGCTCAGGATTTACTCCTGGGAGGACTCAGGGGACTCTGTGCTGCTGGGAATGGAAACTGGGTTGGCTGTGTTCAAGGCAAGCACCTTGACCACTGTATTAGTATTGCTCTGGCTGTCCTCCATTATTTTTTTTTTGAGGAGTGTTTTGAGGCCACACCCTGCGGTGCTCAGAGGCTGCCGTCAGCAAGAGCCCTGGAGCAGCTGCGCACAACTATGCAGTCCAGGGATAGAGCCCAGGACGCCACACAACCACACAGGCAAAGCAGGTGCCCTGACAGTGAGCTGCGGCAACTACGGCCCCAGCACTCTCCCTGCAAATCTCTAGTTGGAGCTGGAACCAAAAGCCAAGCACCACAGAATCTTAGGCTTAAGGACTTTTAAATGTCTGCTATTTCTAAACTTGTCTGATGCTTCTAAATATCAAAAAGTGGTAGAGTCTGTGGGGTTTCTTGGCAATGTTGCTTTGGGGCTGCACCAGGTAGTGCTCATGGATCACTCCTGACTTGGGGGACCGTACATAGTACAGATCAAACCTGGGTCAGCTGCATGCAAACAAGTACTTTACCCCGTACCAGCTCTCTGGCCTCACTTTTGTTTTTTAAACAATGCCCCACCTCCACCCAGCACAAGGCCTCATTCTCAGATTTTAATTGGATTGGAAGGAACACCCCTAGTATAATTTCACCAAACAGCTGAAGCATAAGGCATCAAGAAAAGGAAGGAAGGCCAGAGAGATAATGTAGCAAGCAAAGTGCTTGTCTTGCACATGGCTGCCCGGGTTCGATCTCTGGCACCACATATGATCCCCTGAGCTCTACCAGTTATGATCTCTGAGTACAGAGTCAAAAATAAGCCCTGTGCACTGTCAGGTGTGGCCACCCCCCCAAAAAAAAAGTTTTCATTCTAAAATCAGGAGAATTCGTTGCCTGAGAGGGGACAAAGGTTCAGTCTAAAAAGTGGGGCTCAGACCATGAAGGTCACCATCCCAAGCTGCTCCAT